AAGGACCTCTTCACTGCATCCACCACAGTGACCCTTCACTTCTAGCGTTCCTACCCCCTTAGCCTCCTCAACCTGACACTGTCCTAACTGCCCTTCCCCTTGGTCTTCTTTGCCAGCTCCTTCCTCCTCTTCTCAAAGCATAAGTGTTGATATTCTCCTGCTTTCTAACCTTGACTTCCTGTTCTCCTCTCCTTAAATGCTTCTTGAGCAATCTTATCCTTGTCCGCACTCCTAACTACACAGATATACTGACCATTTCCAAATCCTTTCCTTCTGGCCCTTTTCCCAACTGTAAACATTCTTATAGCCCATGGGTTGGTGAATATATCTCTCAGATATTCCCCAGCCACAACATATGCAGATCTATCTAAAAATTGAGCACATCATACCCACTTCTCCTGACCCATTTCCCCCCACCCTTCCCCCATATACCTACAAATCTTGGCTTTCTCTGCCATCCTTGGTTTCAGCTTCTGGCACCAACATCCACTGAGTAACTTGAGCCAAAAATAGGGAAGCAATTAGAGATGACACCTTTTCTTTCATCTCCTATAGTCAAGCAGTTACCAAACCATACTGATTAAATCGTCACAGTTTTTATACCTGCCTCCTTTCTTTACTTACTACCATTGCTCTAGTTCACCTCCTGGCTCATAGTTCCTGGTTCTTGTTCTGGCCTGTGATCCAGCCTACCTCCTTAAATTCAACTCCAGTCTGCAGCCATAATCAACTATTTAAATCACAAACATGATTATGGTCCCTTCGCCTCACAACTTGTAAGCCCAAGCCTAGGGATAAAGTTCAAGCTTTAGAAAAGATTCTGACACATAAACTCCTCAGAAGCTGGGTCCCACCTACCTGAGAGCTGCCCACCACCCCAGTGGCTGAGGCTTCGTGCTCTAATAACTCCAAACTGCTCACAGTCTTGAGCACACATCATGGTTCTAAGTCTCTAAGCCTCGTTTCTGCAGTTTGTTCTGCCTCCTCAGCCTTCTAGCTGCGCTCAGGACCACTTCCTCCAAGCAGGCTCCCCTGCACAGCCAGGTTTTGCAACTGTCCTACTCTGCGCTCCAGACATACTTGTCTACCTCGGCACTTGGCACGATTAAGTGCCTACAAGTCTCGGCTCCTACCATGTCTCTTAAATCCACCAAGGACAGGAAACTGTATCCATGCTTTCATTCATTTATTCAACTAACCCTTAGGTATCTCCTATGTGCCAAGCAATGTACCAGGCAGCATAGGTCCATTTCATGACCTATACAGATGACACAGGTAAAAGATTTTTCCTCTCTACATCTCCAGCACCTAGCCCAGTGCCTGGCACCAATGAGATGCTCAGTAAATGTTTGTTGAACTTAACTGAACCAGACAACGGATGGATGAGTGAGACTGTCTGGAGTAAGGATGATGACTGGAAGAGGCAGCACGGAATTACAGAAATGGCATGAGCTCTCAGGTCCGGTAAAAAGGGCTCAAACTCCAACTCATCCCCTTCATGGCTAAGTTATCTTGGCTTAAGACCTTGCTGTCTCCTCTCTGAAATCAGAATACTAAAGCAATGCCAACTTCCTGAGCTACTGTAAGAATTCAATAATATCTAAGCAAACATGGATTGTATATTCTTCAGCCTTATCAAAACATGAAGTCACACTGAGAGCATCCAACTCATAGAAGACAGAGGCCCAGCACCACACAGGGGTAGACGGGAGGCCGCAGAGGATGGGGCAGCAGGGCAGGAGACGGAGAAGCAGCGGGACCTAGTTTTCAAGGCCCTGGGGCTGAGATGTGAGTGCACGAGGCCCCGCCACAATAGGAATGTGGCTCTCCTCCCATCTCGAAGTGCCAGGGTGCCGGTTATCAATCTCTTCCCCTTCGTAGACAGTAACAAAAGCTTTACCATTTGCCATCAGGGTCTACAGCTGTGGGCAGAAAGCAGCTTCAGCACTCTCCCCCTCCTCTGAATAGAAAATCAGCTGTTTCTAATCCTCCATTTTTAATGACTTCAGCCAATGGCATTTATATCTTCCCTGCCAGGTCCAGTCCAGCCAGCTAGCCAGATTCATGCAAGAAGGAAGCTCCACAGCCATCAGACCCCAGGCATGGGAGCTGGCCACACCAACAGTGGCAGGAAATGGTGGTGTGGAGACTGGGGACAGCTCTCCCACTGGGATCTGTTCCCACCTTCACAGAGCCCCCTGGAAAATGAAATGCTTTGCTTTCAGGCCTGTGCCGGGTGCACATGAATGTCTGCACTGGGGGCGGGAGGAGGGCCCAGGGCTGTGTGGGTGCACTCTGATGCACAAAGATGCTGAGCAAATTCTGACACTTTTCCTTGAGAGACAAGGCCCTGGGAGGAACCTACCTTAAGCCATTCAGCTTTTCTGAGACCCTCTTCTTTTTAGACCTTTTACTGAAGGATTCAAAAGCTTTTTGGAAATTCCAAACAGAGAGCCCTGATAAAGGTTCTGATGAGAATGTTGATGCTTCTTGAACAGTGAAAAATATTCTAATTTTCAAGACAGAGGAAAAGCAAGGAGCATTTCTAGTGGCTCTGGAGCTGTAAGTATTTGGACAGAAATGAAATGAGCCAGCACATGGGACAAGAGAGCCTGGGAAAGGATTAGCAGGATAAATATCCTAAGCCATGAAGTCATGATACACAACAAAACTTATATTTGTACGGCACTGCCAAAACCTAAAAATTGCTTTCACTTCTTTAGCTGATCAAGTTTCTTAAGCTCCTGGAGACTATGTTTTAGGGAATTTGGAAGGATTAAACAGCATGAAAGTAGCTAGTAAAGTTGCCCAGCACATCTTGATAACTGGCAGCTATCAGCATTTTTTAGTTGATCCTCATGAAAACTTTTGGAGGTAAGTTGGGCCCTTGTTATTGTACCCATTTTACAGATGATAAAAGCAAGGCTGTACAGGATCCCTGAGTGAGGGGCACAGGGTGATTCAATTAATGACCCTAAGGAGACTTGAACCCAGGACCACCAGGGCTTTTTCCATTCTATAAAACATTGCATCACATTCAGTACTGCTGCTGCTGACCCATCCTTGAGACCCACATTTGGAGGATTTTTAAAATGGTAATATGATGGATTTTGTGCAGCCAACCATCTACCTCTTACTCAATCCCTTGGGAGTCCCTGGCATTTGTGAAATGACTCTTGTGGTTGAAGATCACTGACCCATAGGAGAAAGACCTTGGCTTCAAGCAAAAGTCTAATTCAACTGGACAAAAAATATGAGAAAGTTTTAAGATTCCTTTGTGCATAAAGCACTGTGTGAGAAGAAATTTTAATGCCAAAATAAGAGGGTCTCCAGGAGTCGCTTACCTCAGCCAGGCCACGGTGGACTAGGGGCCACCCAACACTCTCCAATCCCCATTCACCCCACTCCCATCAATCTTCTACTAGGACACTTATTCTAAGGACTGAGCAGAGAGCAAATGGTTAATAAAAACAGTTTGCCAGACTGATTGAGTGCTCATAGGGATACCATTCCCAAACTAAAAGTAAAAGCCATCATCAGCATAATAACACATTGCCAGTTAGAGCTTTGAACTTTCCCCCAAGAACTTAGATGCTCTCTTGATAACCGTTATCTCACTCCCCCACTTTCCAGCACCTCCTGCATCTTCCCAAAAAAACCTGGAGTTTTCCAAAACTGTAGGAACAAATAATCCAAAAATAACCCAAGTTGCAGGAAGGGGTAGGCTTTCTTTCCTATTTCATTAGTTTGAAAGCATCCCAAGATAAACACCTATGAGGACCTTCAGCCAGGTTGTAAGTATGGAGTGAAACAATAGACTGAGATGGATGACTTTAGCACAGAGAAAAGCCGCTCTCCTCCACGCCCCCCTAGACAGCTCTGAGAAGCTGATGCCAAGGACTCATCACTCCTATAGGGGTTTACTGTGCCCTCAACTCACCGCTTACAAATTGGTGACCTGCCCTCCCCTTGAAAAAAACAACTGCAGCTACGTGTGGTGATGGAAGTTAACTGGACTTATTGTGGTGATCTTTTCATAATACATACATATATCAAATCATTACACTGTAACCTGAAACTAAAACAATGTTATATGTCACTTGTATCAGTTTAAAAAAAAACACCACCATACCAGCAAATCTCTTTTTAAGACCATGTCTAAGAAAACAATCCAGAACGTGGACAAAACTTTATGATATTCTTTCAACATTATACACAATAATAAAAATGTGGAAAAATATTTGAAACTAGAACTTGGTGACCTGCCAGTGGATGCATTCATTAACTCTACGGTAGGAGTCCTTTCAGAATGCATGCATGTATCACATCATCCCATTGGGCACTTTAAACATATTGCAATGTTATCTGTCATTACATCTCAAAAAAGCTGAAAAAACAAAAAAATCGGTGACCTCTGATGTATTTTGATCTCCCTTGAACCCATTATGATTGTGAGTTTTCCTGCATTGGAATGTGTCACCAGCATTAGTCACCAGGAGCACAGGAGACCTGCACGCTGTCTGGAAACAGAACAGATGCTGTGGGCAGCCAGACTGCTGTGCAGGCGATCTGTTAACACAACAGCAAAGGCAGCAGGAATGAAACGAACAGACAGTGTCACGGTCCAGGCAGCAATCTACCGTAATCACAGAGCCCCCGAAGGGATGCGCGGGGAGATACTGCGTCCCCTTGGACAAGAAAGCAGGTTTCATGGGAGGAGAAAGAACAAAACCAGGATATTGGCAGCCTAGTGCACACCGACGGGAAAGAATGGGCATGTTCCTGCACCCTTGCTCCTGGCAAGAGTGACCGGCTTAACCCCGTCTGTCTGAGGAGCTCTGTCAGAGAATGGGAGGGTAGGGTTATGACAGGCATACAGTGCCTTCTCTGCACTGGGGTATCCTGCACTTCCCAGCAACACTCGTGGCTCAGGATGGCCAGCTGGGGAGGGCCAGTTCGGGGACCCTCTCCGCCCGGCTGGAAGAGCGGTTCTCTCTTACCTGTCTGGCGGAGGGAAGTGCAGCTGGGAAGGTTTGGCTGGCGCCGGCCCCAGCTGAGCATGGCTCGGTGAAGCCCTGAGTGACCGAGTCAGCCACCTCCTGGTACATGGGAGAGGGCTGCCGAGGGGCAGCTCACCTCACCTCGGGGGGTGGGAGGTGCCCCTAGCAGGGCAGCTGCAACTTGCGGCTCCGCTGGCTCCTCACCCGCCTGCCGGGCTTTGCATCTCATGAACCGGGAAGGCAGCGAGCGCCTGGGGAAGGGGGTGGGGAAACGGAGGGAGGGGAGGGGGCACTGGCAGATGATGCGCGCTGCCACGCAGAGTCGGGGGAGGACCGCAGACTGGAGCAGGATGGCACTGCCTATGAGGCTCTCCCGCTGACAGCGAGCTCACTGGCAGCTGCCTCGGAGGGGCCAGTGCGCTGGAGAAGGCAGGGAGAAGCAGAGTCCACAGGGGTCTGAGGGTGGAGGTGGGGATGGAGGAGGTCCCCGGGGTTGCAAACCAGGGAAGGGGGTGAAACAGGGTAACTGGTCTTAGGAGAGAGGCGAACCTTCCTCGGCTCAAAAACAGACCGGGATGGACGCAAAAGACAAAGGCTCAGCCTCAGAAAGGTCTCTCCTGCCATAGCCAACAAGCAAGGATGCTCTGGCTTTAGGAATTTGGAATGGCTGGGCAAGGTAGAGGAAGTTCTAACTTTCTCAATGAGGATTAAAAATCAGCCAGGGAAGAGTGTAATGCATGAAACGTTCCGTGGTATTTGCTACTCCACAGCACAGGCCAGCCCAGGTGCCCCCTCGGTCAGCTGCCCAACCTGTGATGCGGGTGTGGTGGCAAGGACAAGGAGCAAGAGAGAGGGCCGGGAGGGGAAGGAGAGAGCATGTCGTGTGATGCTTCTGTCTGTAAAGTTCCATTTGGATGATCAGGAGAAAAGCCTTTTGGACAGCTCGGGCCAGTGCCTGGAGCAGTTTCTGAGCCTCAGGGATAAATAACCCTTGGCATCAGATTCTAGAGTCTACGAGACCTGCCGCCCCCACATGGGCGGCAGGTTCACCACACAGGCCCTGGAGCTGACAGTCATCGGCTCTATTTACAAGCACAGCCAGAGAAAGAGGCTGACAGGGAAACAAATAAACAAACAGGGAAGCCAGAAAAGACCAGAGGAAGTGCAGCTGGGGAGACTCGACAAGCAGAGCTAATGAAGGGAAAGAGATCTCAGATAAGGACCTTCTCTGGAGGGAGGGGAGGGGGATACAGGGGCCAAGAACTGCAACAGATCTCCAGGGACCCGTCCTCCTGATACAAACTAGTTCCTTTCCTTCAGGCCGGCCTCCACACGCCCTGACAAGCGCCGCCCCAGATGACCCCCAGGGGACAGCTGCTCTGCTTAGGACGCTGCTGCTGTGATCGGTCATGATCACCAACCGGTTCACTGCAGCAGCAGACATTGCCCCAATTCAACAAAATCAGGTCAATTCGGCCAACGATCCTTGGAGCCGGCTGTGCGCCGTGCGGGTGGCAAACATGACTGAGACATCCTTGTCACGTCTCAGGTGATCCAGAGGAGAAAGAGCTTTAAGTAAGTGATGCTAACTCATAGATAAGGGGGCTAAGGACTCAAAGGGAGACATGGAAACGCTGGACCAGGTCCACCAGGTCCTCTCCCAGGAAGCCTCATCTGACCTGCATGTTGAAGGTGACCACTGGATTCTGACCCGTGGAGTTTAGTGAGAGAAGAATTCAAGGCTGAGAAACAGCCTGGGCAAAGGCAAAGCGTCTAGAGGTGCCTGCAGGGGCTTGGGGAACAGTGAGCACTATTTCAAGGGAGGCTGGAGTAGAAAGTAGAGTGTGATAGGAGGCCGCAGAGGAGGATGTACATTAATGGGTACATTGCAACCAGACAGTTAAAAAAAAAAGAAGAAGTTTAAACAAAGCAATGTTGGTCAAACCATTTGCATTATCAGATCCGGGTTTGAGGAGATGCTGAGTAGAGAAGGATTGGAGGAAAAAAGAATCCACTGCCAACGCAGGAGATGCAGTTTCCATCCCTTAGTCGGAAGGATCCCCTGGAGAAGGAAATGACAATTGACTGAAATATTTTTTCCTGGAGAATCCCATGGACAGAGGAGCCTGGTGGGCTACAGTCCATGGGGTGGCAAAGATTTGGACAGGACTTAGTGACTAAAAAACAACACAACTAGGTGGAAGAGGATGGATAAATCACAGAAATCAGCAACAGTGCAACAACAGGCATTAGGCTAAGTGAAATAAGTCAGATGGAGAAGAATAAATACCATATAATCTTATATGGAAACTGAAAAAACAAAAAAACAAACTCAAAGATACCGAGAATAGATCAGTGGTTACCGGATGGGGGGTTGAGTGAAATGGGTGAAGGGAGTCAAAATGTACGAACTTCTAGATATAATATAAACAAGTCAAGGGATATAATATATACCATACACCATGGTGACAGTAGATCCATATTTTTAAAAATTTCATTGCAATATAATTGACATGTGACACTAGTTTCAAGTGTACAACATACTGATTCAATATTTGTATGTATATCAAAGGCACCGAGTGCACCGACTCGATGGACATGAGTTTGAGTAAGCTCTGGGAGCTGGTGATGGACAGTGAATGGTGTGCTGCATGCACACCATGGACTCATGGACTCATGGAGTCACAAAGAGTCAGACACAACTGAGCAACTGAACTGAACTGACTGATGGTGACAATAGTCAATGATACTGTGTTGTATATTTGAAAGTTGCTAAGAGGGTAAGCCTTAAAAATTCTACTCACAAGAAAAAAAAATTTACGACTATGTGTGGTGATAGATTTAAACTAGACTTACTGTGCTAATTCAACTCACAAATATCGAATCAGTATGCTGTGCATCTGAAACTAGTGTTACATGTCAATTATATTGCAATGAAATTTTTTAAAATATGGATCTATTTAGCAAAAAGATTGATAAAAGTGTTCATAACCTTCTCAAGACTTTTCCTTCTGAATCTCAGATTTTGTATTATTGAATAGCAATTTATGAGAACAATGAATCACATTTGCATTCAAAATATAACCCTTTTCTCTTTGGTGTCCTTTCTGCAAAGTTCCAATAGCAGAGATTTCTTCTTTGATTGTATTACACTGATTAATTTCTCTAAGTTATTGATATAAATATATTTACTTTGTAAAAAATAAATTTTTTATGGAACACTGGAGAAACTGGGGCCCATGGCCCTGACACACTGCCCAAGTGCTGAGGGAAGAAATATTTGAGCACACCCAAGTATACACTAGGCAAACAAGCTGGGAAGATTTTACTTAGAGGATGAAACAAATAGGATGCAATAGAGGTTTTGAACACACTTGCAAACTGGGACTTGCTCTTTATTGCTACTTTGGAATCCTATGGTCTTCATGTGAAGAGCTTACTGGATGAATAGAAAGGTGATCCAGTCACTACTACTGGCCCAGCCAACAGCCAGTCAACTGTCAGTCAGGTGAGGTCATAGTAGATAGTAGATAATCCAGCCATCATCCAACCCACAGCTGACTTGATACATGAACAAGCCCAACCAAGGCTGACTAAACTGCGCAAACCTGAAGGATTGCCCAGCTGACCCATGTAATTATGACCCAATAAATGATTTTTGTTTTAAGCCATTTTGCTTTAGTTTTAGGATATTATGTTACACAGCAAAAGCTCACTCATACATCATGGAGTAGCCCAGATTTCAAACCCATTCTGGGTATTTCCTTTCCTGGCACATCAGCCAGTTTTAATGTATCTACTACCCCAACTTCATTTCTAATACTAACAAGTAAAATTGACATTGGCAACTAATAAAACCCAGGTTTTATGAGAAAGGCGATTTTGTGCTGGTTTCTTCTGAAACCTTCATCAACCATTTTTTACCTCAGAGCAGTTAATTTTTTTCTTGAATGTAATAAGTATGTTAATTTACTCAGCTATTATGACATAGTCTATTTACTGATCATAGCTTTGGAACTTCTTGCCAGCTATTCAATATTTTGTCCCAATGTCTAATTGTCTCACAGGGATTGCTTGCTCTTAGCAAGGAGGGGCTTCCCACGTAGCCCTCGCGGTAAAGAACCCACCTGCCAATGCAGGAGACATAAAGAGCGGTGGGTTCAATCCCTGAGTCAGGAAAATCCCCTGGAGGAGCGCATGCAACCTACTCCAGTATTCTTGCCTGGAGATTCCCTTAAAGGAACCTGGTGGGGTACAGTCCGTAACACCGCAATGAGTCAGACCTGACTGAAGTGACTTAGCACACACGCACAGAGAGCAAGGAGTCATCCTTTGTCTTTCACCCTGCCTAGGGTAGCCTTTAAGTTGTTTCCAGACCGGTAAATCATGGTCCTGGCAAATTTATAAAATTCCCAGGCAGCAACCACAGGGTCACCAATCTTTATTTTTCCGAAGAAGAACATTAAAAGTGGTTATCTGATATTACCATTATTTTAAAAAACAATCTTACTGCCAAAAAAGTATGAAGGACATCACCTTAGAATGAAGGATAATTCTTCCCATGAAAGCCCAATTGGAAACTTTTAATTGACTTTTAGGTACTTAGAAACTGATATAAAGAAATATATACACACATACACATGTATACACACAAGTATGCATGCATGCATACACATACTGAATCATTAGTTTATTCTCTCATTTTTTGTGATGAGTGATAACTGTTCCTTTGAGTGGATACAGTCAAAGATGGACTGGGCTTTCCAAGTGGTAAAGAATCTGCCTGCCAATACAGGAGATGCAGGAGACACAGGTTCAATCCCTGGGTTGGGAAGATCCCCTGGATGAGGAAATGGCAAACCATTCTAGTATTCTTGCCTGAAAAATTCCATGGACAGAGAAGCCTGGCAGGCCACAGTCCATGAGGTCACAAGAGTTGGACACAACTGAGCAGCTGAGCACAGGTGCATGCATAGATAGGTTGTGTCTGAAACCTACAGATGGGCTGCATCATTGTATACATGAAACAAATAGTAGAACAATAAAAGACCATAATCAGAGAAGGCGTTTGATAAGAACAATTAGGAGCTACCTCAGCATTCATTGTT